GTGTGGTAAGAGGCGGGCAAGTCTGGGAAGATCAGCATGAGACAACCACGCAGCAGACCGATAGAGATGAAGAGACAGACAGGACAAAATCAGCAAAAATACTCCAACATATGCACCACGATGATTGTGGTGCATCAGGACGTAAGAAAATAATAATAATAACAATAATAATAATAGTAATAGTAACATTAACAACGAATGGTGGAGATGCGAATAATGCACTATGGAGGGGAGATAAGATTTCGCGGCGCGGACGCCAACCGTCGGTTCTTTTGAGATTGCCAGTGGTGTGTGTGTGTGTGTGTGATAAAGAAATAGATTGGTTGAAAAGGAGACTTGTTTTACACTTCGGATACACATCGCACGAATAAAGGAGTGCTACTGTGTGCTTTCGTCTTTTGCAGTGACAGCAAGTCAAAGAGCGTGTAACACAACGGTGGGGAGGGTCTTTCCTATGTGAATCATTGAATGCATCGCGGACAAATTTCGCGGTGATACAGAAGGGGAACGACAGAGGGAGAAACGGTACCCCCGACCGGATAAACAAGGGTGACGGCTGATAGCCGGGATTGGTTGATGCTCCACGCATCTGTATCACGAAAGGGAGCGATGTAATTTATATTGACGTAGGGAGGCTGACTGTAGATTTATTCGGTGGATAATCAACTGCGCTTCGGTTTGGGAGCAAGAGGAGGTCGGGGAACAGAGCGAGTAAAAGAAGCGTCATTTTGTGATTTGAAACCCTCGAATGCGGCTACACGGGCTGCGATCGAACTGCTTTGAGAATCTTCGGCAACTTTTGTGGGGGCGGGATCAAGGCTTTCGCGTTTTGGTTCCCCGGCCCCCGGAACTGAAACTGCAGTAGTAGTGGTGGTGGTAGCCGCAGTGGTGGAAGTAAGCGAGTCGTTTAAACGAGTCTTGAAATCAACGCCCTCACGACGTGTGAAAGCCGGGACCCGAGAAATCAGAGCACGTGGCTCTGGTCGTTTGCGCATTGTGTCCATACCTTGCTCGGCAAAGTTGTCCGCAGAGCTTTTACTTCCATCGATCAAGGTGGCTGCTGTCCCCGGATTCGAGGAGACGGAGGAAGGTGTCGAACAAACAAGGCCTTCAGTGGACGGGGCAGTTTGCACAGGCAAATCCATGACCAGATCAGGGGTGTGTTTGGCACAAGGAAGTTGAAGTTTGCGGCTCAATTCCCGCGTCCGTTGTAGGGTCCGAAAATCGCTATCCTGACTGTCTGCCTGTTCCAGTGAGCTGAGTCCACGCATAACCTGGCACAAAGTGATTAAACGGATGACAGGAACCAACCATATAATAAACCTTGCAAAAAAGTGTTATCTAATAATTTTTTAGTTTTTATCACATCATAAGCAGCACCGTTTGAGAGACAGAGAAGAAACGGAGCGTTACAGAAAAAAAGGTTCACCGAAAAGCAAAAGCGTTGAATAACATTTGGCGATTTGTCGAGCGGAGGTAATTTTAGAATAACTGAAACATTCCTCAACCTATGAATATTTATTCTGAGGGTTATTAGCATTAATTTAGAAAAAGTTAGGACCAAAACGAGGATCATTGGAGCTTTATGATGTCCACGAAGCCGTTCCTAGAAACCTGTTGTAACAAAGTTCGGTAAGTTCAGACAGCTTACCAATTACAGTACCAGTGAGAAAATAGAAATCTTGCTCTCCTTTTGAATTCGATTAAAAATTTTTGCATTGAGTAGAGTGAATTTCGAAACCGAGCCTGGAATGAACCGTAAGCGCTCATAGATGCGACGCGAAAAGGAAATAATTGTGAATCTCACTAGTGAGAATTTGTTGCGTCATTGACAGTAATAATCGCTTGGGAATGTGTTTGGACATCCGTTGTGATAGGAGCCGATTCGTTCTGACGATGTAAGTGTCACCGCAACTGCATGTGAACTGACAGATGACATGTGCAGTAGAACTGGGCGGCTGTCTCTGTTTTCGGTTTTCTAGACAAATCCCATAGGTGTACAATATCAATCGAAGCATGTGCGGCAGGAAATGTCTGACAAAACGCGGTCTTCTGATGCACGTCGTTCGTTAGATCACTCTTGCAGGCCAGTTTGAGGAAGACGCACTTCTTCGGTACTTCGCAAACGTGATCAATCGGTGGCCTTCGTCTGCTATGCACACCAACAAGTTTATTTGGCTACCCATTATCCAGTAGCGTCCTTCGTCACAATGGATGTCCGAACACATTCCAAAGAGGCAATTCTTGTCAATATCACAACGCAATCTCAGAGGTCAAATTGACAAGAGAAACCCAGGGTAATCAGTCGCAAAACATATCATGACAACTGAACTCATCGTCGACCCACTTATGTCGTTCAAGCCGTTGTTACGTAACATGAATCCAAGGGTCTTAGCCTTCAGTAAAGCGATGCTTATCAAGTTACGTAGTCCGGTACTATGTGCGCGAAAGTTTCTGTCGCAATCAATCAATTTGCCTTGGCACTGCTTCTGATCCCCTTGTATGACTGTCGTCTGTTTAACGATTATGGTTTTCACAGATTTGTTTTACAGATGCCAGATTGTTTTACGTTCTAGCGATTGAGGTGATTGAAAGAAAAATTAACATCTCGAAGCATTTGTCTTCTTTCTGTTCTAACGAATTCGATAAACAGGACCCAATGTATCAAGTTTCAAATCTCACCTCCGCCAGAGCACTGTCAATGTCCGAAGCAAATGTGAATCGTCCGTGTGATTCCAGTTCTGTGCCGGACGTGGATTGGCGATGGGCCGGAGAGGGATAAGAATAATCCGAACCGGCAACCGCCTCATCTTCGGGCACAGCACCTAGACCGCCTGAGAGTGGATAGCTAACGGTATGTCGGAGACTGGCGGACCGCGGCGATTCGGTAGATGGCGATTTGCACCGACGTGGAATGACCGGTGATGATGACGATGTGCCAACATCCGACAAAGTTGACTCAATCGGCGAAGTAGGGGCACTTTCTGAATGCGTTGGTTTGGTTTCGGAATCAACGAGACCTGAAAATTATAAAAACAACAGTGTGAAAAGGAAACAATTTAAATTTGCCAACATTAATAGTTCGTAGATAACATTACATTACATTTGACACCGATTCACAATCAGACTGGAGGAAAGGGCAAAAGGTCCTGCGCCTCTTGAATGATCGCGCGACGATTGCGTTCACCGTTGAGTTGCAACTGTGCTTTCGTACCGTTTGTAACCAAAGCAGTTCAGTGTATGAATGAAAATATAATTCTTCATATCTTGCCTTAATCAACGCAGATTTTCTTGTTGGAACAAGAAACATCGGTATCCCGGTTAGCAAACTACTTCTCTCTCTCACACACACATGTAGAGATGACTTTCCCCACATTGGCCAGTTCCGCATTTACTCTTTATTTAGAAAAATGACTGACTTCATCGATTCGCTGACTGAGCATTAACACGTTTCTGATATGCACACAGAAAACCTGATTGAACAAGAGGGGGTTCGGTGCTACATATTTCTGGTTTGGATCGTCTTCGATAGTGCAGAGAGAAGAGTAGATACAAGACCGAAGGCAAGCTATTAGCACGCTTTATTTCCAACATATGTGGCAAATCTGAAACTTGCTTTGGTTTCTCATCTAATAGTTTTAAGTACCTTACTGTTTCATGTCAGCCAAGGTTTCCTTCACGATAGTTAGCAATCCTTCTTTCACTTACTACCACTGGGTGTCAGTTCGTTTTGTGAGGCATTTGTTCGTTTTACTGTTGTTGTTATCCTAATTGTTGGTGGCCTTATTCATGGATCAACCCTAACTTTGTTCCCCTTTACTTTCACACACACACACACACACACACACACACCTCTCTACCTCCTACCAACAGGGGTGCAGGGTTGAACTTTTAATAAACCACTCTAATATTTTCTCTTTCAAACCGAAAGTCTCCACCGGTGACCATGGTCTATTCTAGCCTAGACCAAAATTCTACTGGCACACGCTATCTTTATCCATACAAAATAATGACTATGAGAATCCGAAATTCGTCAATTGACAAAGCTGCTATACAAAAGAAAGCACTTGTTATCACATCGTAGTGATTTGCATTTCGAGAATGCCTCATTAATATTGATCAATTTACCGACACGATGAATAAATTTTTAATTTCTGCCATCTTAAGGAAGCGCAGTTAAAAGCTCGAAGACGAAAAAGAACAAGCGGGTAAGTCGCAACCAAAAATAGCAGACAACCAGTTTCAATTGTAAACCCGTACGGAGATGAGTGGACAAACCTATTAGTGTTGACAGCTTCTGAAAACTTTCGGTCTTTGCACCCCCGCCGATTGTCTGTCTACTGTTGACACATTCTCTGACGAGAAAGTGTTTGATCTTCGTCAAACTACGAATGCAAAAAGCCCAGATGATTTGCTCTCATTTATGCTCAAACATAGTACTGGCTTACTCGGATATATTCCTATCATGTAATAAAAATTCAACGCTCTCTGTACTCATACAATCTAGTTGTAAATAGTTCCCCAACCCCGTTGTTCTATTTCTTAATTATTCTTCTGAACTTCGATTCCACCTCGCAATCCTTTCCTTCGCAGAAAAGAACAGTGGTTTTATTGTTCCACCAGGTTACTAGTTTCGGTGAACTACTGTTGTTTTGCTGAGAAGCATCCAGAGGACAAAAGCAAACGGGACGGTTTCGAGACCGTTAGTCACTAATTCAGAAGTCCTTCAAGGTGTTACACTTTCTCCATACTTATTTCTGATAAATATGAGTGACCAACCCATTGTCATTCTATACCAGGTCACTTGATACTGGTCTGATGAAAGTTCGTTTACTAGTTTTTTTCATCACCTAAACGCCTTAAAAATGTGTCCAGTACATTTTCAGTCTTTCGCAATCTGAACGTATAATCTCAGCGTCTATAACCAGAGCGCACAGTACTGAACACCTAAAACATCTAACATGGAGAGTGTTCTACGACGGTGGTTCATCCATGTGCTAGCCAGTGTTGATAAACTACATCGACTTTCAAATACGTGGGAAGCGATGACATAATTTCAAGTGGAGCATTCAACTATATGCTGTTGCATTCATCAGTATATTTTGCCAAAAGTAATTTCAGGATCCCCTGTGATTTTCCACTACTCTTTGCTGTGGTTTGGTAATTGCTATTCGCTGATTCTATTGTTCGCATGACCCTGGTAATCATAAAAATTGTATGATCTTCATATACCGGCAGGTAAGAATTTGGCCCATAAGTATCTTAACGACCCTAGACATCAGCTCGAGCTCCATCTATCATCCACCAGCTGCTTTTCTGCCTCGAATGAACTCCTAGATAGTATCGGAACCTGAAACCGAAGTTGTGCTGCTCCATCAATTGTGTTTGGATGTGCATTCAATAAAATCCACGGGAATGATATCGTGCGAAGAGCAAAACAGTTCAGTCATTGGTAGAACAGAAATCATTTCAGACAATCACGTGATGGAATAGCAGAAAAAGAGCAGGGGGCAGCATTATTGAAGGGCATAAACATGATATCAGGTAGCACGAAGTTATTCCCAGTGAGCATTTCGAGCGCGGGGAATATGGCGAACAGGAACGGTCAAGTGGACCTCGTCGACCAAAAGCGGTGAGAGAGCAGAGCAACTACGGGTACACCCAATCGCAATCACGTTGAACAGACAAAAATTCGTAACGAAAGAATCACGCACGTGAACAAACCGACACCATAAATCAAAGGAGAGGATTTTCGAGAGCACAGTCAGAAAATTCGAACTGATCTAGACAAGGTATCACTAGTGCATCTTACCGAGTAGTTAGCGACCGGGGAAAGGGTTTTAGAAATACGTTGAGAATATGCAGCTGGGTAATTATGACGTGTCAATCGCACAGCAGACAAGCCGATTGGTTGGCTGGATTATCGTACAGCCTTAAAAAACCGTGAGTCAAGATCATTAGTGCATGTACACATGAATTACGGTACAATCGTCATCATTAATTGAGTGTACTACAGATGCGATAATCTTGTTCCCTGTTTAGATGACAACAGATGAATCTAAATTACACAATGAGTCTTGCTTTTGTTAATAAAAAATGCATCACGAACAGGACTAAACTATGTATGATTGGCTGAGAAGAGCACAAAGAGACTGTTTTGAAAAAAAATATCAAAATATCTATCGTTGAATGCAAACGAACGCACTTACCCTGAAGTGAAGGGGACAACCGTTCTGGAGAGTCTGACGAGCGGGATAGAGCAGAAGGGCTGATCACAAGCTTGGTGGAATGTGTGTGAGGCTTGGATTGCGGTGTGGAAGACGACGACGAATAGTCGTGTGCTAAGCTTGGTTCCGGGAGCCTACTGGATTTGGCAGGTGAGGAGTGTCTTGGAGGAGAAGACGGCGGTGAGGGTGGAGGAGCGGGTGCAGGAAGAGGCTCGGAAGTATCATGCGGCTTACCATTGTCTTTTGTCTCGACATCGTCTGATTTCGTCGAGGGTTTGAAAGATCCCGAGTCTGTTGATTCGGTCATAGTGTTCGCAACGTTTGGTGCTTCGCCTTTACCCCTGGACTCAGTCACCTTCTTCGCGCTCTTTTCATCACGTTCCTCCTCCTCTTCGTCTTCAGCTTCATCATCTTCGTCCTCGTCTTCATCGCCGATCCCATCATACTGACTACGATCCATACCTGTCGTATCCCCACCTAGTCCAGCCAAACAGGCCAGAGCAGCCTTGGGGATCACATATAGATGGGGAACCAAACCCCGTGTACCGGTCGAGTCTGAAGCTAACTGGCCCTCCCACCAATGATCATTTAGACGACGATAGAGGAACAGATCATCCCCCTGTTGGAATGACAGCTCACGCGGAGTGGATCCCGTGAAATCGGCTTGGGCCACGGCCAAGGTGTATGGAGTTTCTGAACCTAAATGTTGAACAAAAACTAACAGGTTTATTCGGAAAAGAAAAGTCAAGTCACAAAATGATTTATTCATCCTAAGGGGTGAATTTTCAGCTCAAACAGGACACGATAAAACGGTTTTTTTGGGGTGAAGAAAAGGCGTACTAGTGAAATACACGCGTACTCACTGACGATGAATAAAACGATCATGGGACACGCCACCGCTTGGGCTAAAAAATTATCACATGAAGGATAAAGTCTCCGATAACCATCTACGATATAGGGGAAAAGGCACTGTAAGCGCCTCATGAGTTCACAGCAATGTAGTCTGACAAAAAGAATAAATAAATAGAATTCCAGGGTACGTGGTGGGGATACACTAAGCTGATCGTGCGTTGCAATGAGACCATCATTGAATTGCAAATGAGGACCCAGTTACAGAATCCAAACACACACACACACAGATGGACGCATAAAAGGATTCTCTCCTAGTTACGTGAGCACACACGCACACGAGTTCAATACCCGCAGGCTTTCATCGAAAAAGGAACAAGATCAATTCTCGGTTGCAATTGTAGATAAGAGTAATGTACCATTGGTACAAAACCGTTGTAAACAACTATATTATTGACATCGTAACTATGAGTTCTTGTACTGAACAAAACCTTTGACAGATTGTAGCTTTGTTGTCGGACAGACCAA